AAGCCTGCCAGCTGTCAAGAAGACAGGTGCAGGGCGCTTCTGGGGCCCTGCACCCCTAGATGCTGACAGACAAAACTGATGCCATGGGTGCTTGTGCAACTGAATGTGTCTGTCTTGGGGCAGTTGGTTATCTGTATTGATTATTTCCTCTCCTTAGTCTGTGGTTTTGTAAGTGCTAACCCTTGCTCATTAACTCATTATGTAGTAGCTAGATACTGTGTATTTAGCTGGTCCTTGAGTGAATCATGATTAATTGGTAACTGGTAACACAGTAGCTTAGCAGCCAGGCCTGCAGTAGTCACCCCATGCCACGTCCCTGTGCCCCAAGACAGACACAGTTGCACAAGCACCCATGTCATGAGTTTTGCCTGTCAGCAGCCAGAGGTGCAGGGCCCCAGAACCCAGAAGCCCTGCACCAATCTTCTTGACAGTTGGCAGGCTTTGTGGCCACAGCAGGGGCTACCATCCCTGCAGGTTTCACCCTGCTGTGCCTTAACACACAGTGTCACCCATGTCATGAGTTTTGCTTGTCCACAGCTTGAGGTACAGTTTCCCCCAAACCCCTGCACTTATTTCCTTGAAACTTGGCAGGCTTCATGGCCTCAGCAGGGGCCACGGCCCCTGCAGTTTTCAGCCTGCTGCACCTTAATACACACAGGGTCATCTATGTCACAAGTTTTGCCGGTCAGCAGCTTGAAGTGCAGTTCCCCCCAAACCCCTACATCTATCACCTTGAAACTTGGTAGGGACTACCACCCCTGCAGTTTTGACCCCATTGTGGCTTAACACATACATGTGACATGAGTTTTGCTTTCAAGAATTTGGGGTGCAGTCTCCTCCAAACCCCTGCACCTATCTACTTGAAACTTGGCAGGATTTGTGGCCTCACTATGGGGCACCATCGCTGCAGTTTTCACCCCCCTGTGGTGTAACACGTAGACATGACATGAGTTTTGGTTTCAAGAATTTGGGGTGCAGTTCCCCCCAAACCCCTGCACCGATCTTGAAACTTGGCAGACTTCATGCTGTCAGTAGAGGCTACCACTCCTGCAAGGATTATCCAAATAAGACAAAAAAACAATAAAGTTATAGATATTTCATTGATTCCCCATTATACCCTATGGCCAGATCTCCAAGGCGGCTCCGAAGTTTAGAAGCCACTTTGGCCAGATCGAAGCGGGAAATTGATCTGGAGCTCTGGATCGGATCACTGACATCCGAAGTGGCCGGATCCAGCGCTGGATCGAATACCTGCCTACTCGCACAGGCCTGAAAGCTAACCCAGGGCAGCTTATTCCTCAGTGAAAGTTAATCTACTACAGGTTAGCTTTCATCTACTATGGGAAAGAGCATGCAAAAGTGATGTGTGCTAAAACCTCTCCCGCCTTTATCTTACAGTAACTTGTTTGTGTGCCAGTCTCTTAGACTTAGACCATTCTAGCACCCAACCCTGTAAGCAACAGAACAACTCAAAATTTCTACAGCACTGCATATGGCCTTCCTGCTCATATATTCACTGTCATCTCCACTGTCATCATGCCCTTTATATTGGGGCAAGCAAGGGGGTCCTTAGGAAGCATCCTCTGGACTCATCTACATTGCCTGCACTGTGGGGGGCAGTATTTCTTCAGAGACTGGAGTTTTATAGACTCTATAAAATGGGTTAAAGTGTGGACTATTTATGCCACTACAGGTCTTTTATGTAGGCCTTAAAGGGAAAGGAGTAGGGCAAAAAACACACTCCTCATCTCATTTCCTTAAAGTTTATTTTGACAATATTTCTATAAACATGTTTATTACCAAATCAAAGGTTTCAACAATGTAACCCATCTTTCTTTCTTTAATGTGGGTACTGCAGCCTGTGCAATTTCAGTATATTTTCTATACTGAACTTAAGTGTTTCCAAGTGTGGAGGGGCCATTGGCATTCTGCAAGGCCAAAGTCATACAGCATGTTAGAGTGGACACATGCTGTGTTCTCTCATGGATATCTACCTTTACTCTCTAGGAAGTTTAAGCAGATTATATGGTTATTTCTTGAATATATAAATCACATATTCTATGCTTCTTAGTCTTTTAAAGTTGAATGAAAAATGGTAGTGCATAGGACAAGTCTTTAAAAAGTAGCAATAGTACCTCTGTGGGGTTCAAAAAAGGAACAATTCTGCATTTTCAAGATTTTTTCATAAAAAACAATCTGCTCTGAAAAACAGTGTATGTAACTATACACTTAGACCCCTCAGAAATCTACCCTTATATCTCTGGCAGAGTTTAAAAGATCAACATGGCTCCTAGTCCTGCTTTTGCATGAAGTAGGCAACATAGGCTCTCCAGCTTATTTTAATTATATGGCAAATAAAAACCACATCCCTTATTTAGTTCAGAACAATGATCATAAGAAAAAAAAACCTTGCATGTAAGGTATCCACATCAGTATTAACCAAGCAAAGACTGCAAATTTACTTCAAATCACATCTATAAAAGCAAATGTTAAGTAATACTCACTTTTCAGCTTCCTGCAGAGGTGCTCCCAAAAGGTGTTTTTACATTCCACCCTACTTCACTCAACCCAATCCTGCTGCAGACTTCTTGAAACTCTCCATGGGTACAAGAGTCTATCCTCATGAAGCCCAGTAGCCCCAAATATATGGTGCAGAAAATGGGAATATTCTATTAGCTCCATAGAATGAACGCTATGTTTGTATGGGAATGCCCAGACTAACCTTTACAATTGTTAATTTGAGCTAGCTAACTGGAAATTAGACAAAGGGCAGCAAAAGGGTGAAGCATCCAAATGGGAATCTTAGCCTGAAAGTTCTCATTAATAGCAGAGGGTTTTGCCTGATTAAGGATTGAAGGATACCATTCCTTTCTGACTCTCTTATCTTACTGTCTAGTTTAGAACAGGAATTTTTTTGTTTTATAAAGAAACAAATGATGAGAATTGCTGAGGCTGTATTATGGTTAGGGAATGCATGGCAAAGGATGCATAAAAAATTAAGGAGAATCAACTCTATGTGCGAAGTCAGTGCTGCCAGACAATCCTATGTCCCAGATAGGACCATTAAATTGCAGTGCTTCGGCTCTCATTCCAAAGTAAAGCAGTTACCTTGCATGTGCTGGACAAGAAGTCAGGCAGTGACACATTGCAAGCCCTGTGCCTCTCAAAGTTGTAGCTACCAGGCAGCTGCTCTATAGTATTCAGACAGTTCATTGCTCTGTCACTCTTAGACATCATGGTTTAAGCACCCCTGGCTCTCATTTGTCCAATATAGTGGTAAACGTAGCGGTCTGACCTTAAGCAACACCAGAAACAGCCAGGACTGGAGAGATTTTGCTGACTTGCAAGCAGAAGTCGGATGATTTCATACCCTCTCCTTGGTCTGGGAGCAGGAGACTGCCTGTGTCTGACACATGCTGCTACACTAATTGGTGCCTGGATAACTCGGCAAGAGGAGAATGCAGAGTCAGGGGAATTAGAGAATTACTAGAAGCCCCGAGGGAACCATGGCACATTTTCTTCAGAACGGGAAGCAGCTATTTACAAGTTAGATATCAGGATTATACAGCGCTTTACATTACAAAAAGGCAGCTCAGTTCTTACTCAGTTGGGAGTAATATAAGTTTATTTACCTCCACTGCTTTACAGTATGTGAATTGACAGACAAGGAGGAGGCCAAATCAATCTCTAAAATAGCTTTATTGTTAGCAGATGCTACTACTTGTCAGCTCTGAGGAGCTAGGCCCTCTGCATTTTGTGCCCTCTTCAGTACTAAGCATGTAATCAGCACTTAAGACAACAACTAAACAGCCACACCATAAACTATACCAGGACAATGCTTTTTTCCCATTATAGGAGTAAGAGTCTATTTCTTGTACCTTTCAGTATTATATGTTTTCAGGGAAGAAATCCATGCTTAATTGAGCATTGTGAGACTACAGGTTGACTCATTAACTAATTAAAAGCAGGTGAAAACAGTAAGGGTGGGTCAGTAAAGAGGTTCAGGGAAAGAAGCTCCTCAAGAAACTGTAACATCTTCCTTTCCCTCAGCTTCTACCTTTGACACTCATCTATAGCCCCCTGGACCAGACAGTCACTCATTTACCTTGTTTGTATTGTACCAAGACTTGGAGAGGGACCCATTTCCAATGTGGTGCTCCTCAGAGGTGGAGTTCGAAGACAGCTGGCCTAACGAGCTCAGGAAGCGCATGTCTCCAGTCATCAGGTGTACCCCCATGGCTCCTGCTGCACACAGTGCCATGAGCACTTGCCAGGGGGTTGCGTGGCTGTCCAGGTGTGCAGAGACTTTACAGTCACTTCCTGGTTTGGGTCGATCTGGTAGTAAAACATTCTTCTTGCATGACACAATCCTGCACTGCCTGGGCTCTGAACAGGTGTGCGCTCTCAGGGGAGGAAGAAAGCTACTTCTAGGGAACTTAGGGGTATTAAAAGGGTCTGCATGGCTTTTGACTTTTTTTTACCTTTTTATAGATATTTGTATAAACATGACAAAGCCACATGCCATAACTTTTCAGCTGGCTTTACTGACTCTGGCTCAGCACTCCCACTTGCCCTCTCTGATTCTCTGTGTGCTCCACCCCTATTCTATACTAGCAGTGTGAGAACTTAACTCTTTCTGAGACAAGTGAACACTAACTCTTACACTGGCTAAATTATTCATAACTAATTGACTATTCAGTGACATGAGCTTTTTAAAAATGGCTGTTATTCGTGAGTTACTAGCATCAATTTTATGTTTCTGTGAGCATATTCCTTGGTCGTAAGTAGTTACCAAATAATTTATGTGAACAGTTTTCAGGTAATGGGGCTGTTTCCAAGCTGTTATTTCATCTATTTGCTGTTGGTGAGGTGTGATTAGTCACTTCAGCTGCCTCATATTATTTCTTCTCTTTGACTGGAAAGTGAAACTTGCTCTTCATTCCTTCTTCTCCTACAGCCCGTTCCCCCACCCCCTGCCCCGAAAAGCAAGTACCATCAGTTGCACATGAATATGTTTTTCAGTTTCTTAGGGGATGGCTTAGTACATGGGAGTAAGCTGTTATGTACATGAGGTGGATCCAGAATCTAAACAACTAGTTTTGGATGTGAAAACTAGTCACTTTTTAATGTTAACATCTGAAATCCCTCTGGACAAGTATTTCACTGTAGAGGAGAATAAAGTAGAAAAAAGCATGTTATAGAGGAATAAAGCATTAAGGTTAAATGGAGATATTCAAAAAGCCTGAGCCTGAATTGATTCAATCTTTGCAGGTTAATCTAACCTGCGTAGATTGAAACAGTTTGCAAGTGAATAGACATTCACTTGATTCTGGAAATGCAGACACATGCATGCAGTGGCTAGGCTAGAAGCAGGGGAGGGGCCCTAGAACGAGCCCTCCCTTGCCTTTGGCAGCAACCACAAAGGTGAAGGGAAGCTGAGCTGTGGGGGGATAGGGTGGTGTGGCTAGGCCCTGGCAGGCTGCTAAAGTATGATTGCAGAGGGGTTTAAACCCCTACCCTGTCATGCAGGGACCCCAGTCAGGGTGTGCCTGGAAAGGGAAGGGGGAAGCAGCCCTTGAAAGGTTTGTCCCCGGGGTGGGGGGCATGGCCAGCAGTGCCTCAGGTAAAGGGCAGAGGGAGGGGGATTAAACTCCCCAGTCTCCCCTCTTGAGCATGGGTACAGGGACCCCAGGTAGGGTTTTACTGGCTTTCTGCCCCGTTGGCTGCTTGCATGGTAGGGGGTATGGCCCTGCCGTTCTCTCACCTTACCCAGAGCTGCAGGGCTGAGCCAGCCAGCCTACAGGTGCTGCTGAGGGCAGGTGCAGAAAGGACGGCCTAGCCTGGGCCACAGGGGCAGGGCCCTTCCCAACCAGGTGTGGCTCCATGACAACCCAGCCTGGTATGCATGGGCAGCAGCTGGCCAGGGCATGGGCAGCAGCTGGCAGAGGTGACACCCCTGCAGCTGTGGGCAGGCACCTTGGCAGCTGGACTGGCCATGCGGGATGTGCCTGTGGCTGGCCAACCTGGCTCAGAGGTGCTGGCAGGCCTACAGCCCAGCAGCCACCTGCCACAAGGGCTTGTGTGTCCACAGCCTCCACCATTCCCCCTGCATAGTACTTGCTTATCACAGGAACTGTGCAAGGGGCGCAGCAGTGGTGGCAGCTCTGGGCACACAAACAACCCGCAGAAGGCCGCTGCTGGGTTCTGGGCCCACCAGTGCCTCTGAGCTAGCCCAAGCAGCTGTGGGTACATCCTGTGTGGCAGAGTCAGCTGCCAGGGTTCCCTCCCACAGCTTCAGTGGCATTGCCTCCACACTGCTGCCAGGCAGCTGCTGCACATGCATGCCAGACTGATCTGTCACAGAGCTGCATCTGGTTGGGAAGGGCCCTGCCTCCATGGCCCAGTTTGGACCAGCCCCTGCCCTGAGCAGCACCTACGGATCAGCCTGGCTCAGCCCCAGCCCCAGCCCCGGGTGAGGCCCATGAATGGCAGGGCCATGCTGGCTGGAATCTGGCCACACCCCCGCCCCTGCGGCTAGAGCAGGGAGTTGGGGGGATCCTAACAGGGGTTGCTTTGTCCCAGGCAGGCAGCCCCTGGCTGCAGTCCTGCCGGCGGAGAGGGGCAGGAGGGGGCATAAACCCTCTCCCTGCCCCTTTGCCTTACAGGGCTATGCTGGCCAGTGTCTGGCCAGGCCCCCCACCCCTGCTGTGGCCAGGGAGCAGAGGGGTGGGGCCAGTCCTGCTCTCTGGAGGAGACAGCACAACCCAGGTGAGGGCTGAAATGGTGGGATGCTGGGGGACTCTGATCCCTGGAAGGGGTCTGGGACAGAAGTTCCATAAATTGGTTTTACCCAAATCAGTTAAGTCTGATACTACTTTCAACCAGGTTTATCTTAAACCAGTTTTGGCCATTTTGAAACTGGTTTATGTGCACTGAACTTCTGTTCTGTTACAAGTTTAAACCAGTTTCTGATCACTTAAACCAGTTTATATGTAACTGCTGTCCCTAGCCTAAAGGAGGTAGAGACATTTGCAGGTGCATGAAGAAAAAAGGGGCCAGAAAGAGGGGCTGTGGGAAACCACAGGAAGATAGAAATAGCCTTACAGAGCAATATGGAGAGTTCTAAATGCAAAAGCAAGAGTAAAGTTGTTGCACTCTTTTGATTTATAAAGCATCTAGCTGAGTATAATCTGGAAGAAGTTTACACTGCCCATCTGCCAGTCTGAACAGCAAGACTGTTGACCTGGCACAGGAAGAGAGACTGTGAGGAAAACACTGTGAATAATTACGTTGGCATACCATGCTCATTTCATGCAGTTCTTCAGGTGCTGCTGTTTGAATGGGCAGCACTCCCAGAGATTTACACAATAGCAGTATTAACAACAGTACATCCTGTTGAAACATCTTTTGTCAAATGTTGGTTTAGTGTCCCATAAGACTCCAGTTACTTTTAATGCAGATGCCTCCTGGCTTTCATTGTGTTTCAGGGTCCTGCTGCGCTAGGCACTATCCACATACTTAAGCAAAATGTATCCCCTTCCTCAAAGTGCTTATAGTCTGTAACAGATAAAGACCAACAGGTAAATATAATATCTTGTCTGGAACCACTACTGCATAAGAGTACAAGGAAAAGTAATAGGGCTTATTCATTTGGGATGAAAAATGCCCAGAGGAGTGTAGACTAGGAGAGCAAGGCAGCTGGACAATATGTCCAGAGGAACAGACTGGAGAGTGAACTTCTAGCAAGGCATCATGTCCAAGAAGTGTGGTGCAGTGATCCAGGTGACAGGAGGAAAATGAAGAGAGAGGAATACATGGAAAGGAGAGAGCAACATGGAATGAAGATCAGAAAGAGCATAATTTATCCACTTTTCTTTTTAAACCATTGCTTTAAAGAAGCTAAAGTTAGCTAAAGATTGTCCTAGCACTACTATGCAATGTCACATTTGCTGCAGCAGCCTCAGGCTGTGATGTGAGTGTAAGGGGGAGGTAAGATGTTGGTAAATACAGGAAAAAGGGAGGTGGTCAATGTGGCAAGGTCTTCACTGACACTCCAAAAAAGGACAAGGTGCTCTGTTCTGAACATTAATAGAAATATTCAGTATTATGGAGGATTGGCTTATGCTACCTTGAATGTGATCCCAAATTTTGTTCGAATGTGAGTAGAAAGAAAGGGGGTTGGGTAATCCAGAACAGAAAGAGTGTCCCAAGCACCCAGGAAGTACAACTATACTCAACACAGTTATTCCAGACAGAACTGATACCTGTTAAAATGATTTTGTTTCAGAAACCAAAGACTGATTCCTATTGACTCTATTTTAAATGTGCTTTTCCTGTAAATGATGATTCAGTATCAAGAAACATTTTATTTCAAGGATTCACAGGTACTGTTGAACTTGAAATACCAGTTCCAGTGATCACGATTCCTCTGCATACTTTGTAAATACTGGTATGTAGAACTGAATAGCTGGATACACTGTACTGAAACGGTTTATTTCCCGCCTTCATAAACAGTTGCACAGTTTCTGAGTATTTTTAAACTGTTGCATAATTGTGCTTTCAAAGCCTCAGATTGCATTGAAAAAATGTCTCTAGCCAACTTGGTTTAAGATTGCAAAGAAAACCCTCAAAATGGGAAAGAAGTGTAAACTGATGCAATGATATTTGTTTTGAGTCTAGGAAGAGGTGAAACAATAGCTCTGAGAGAGGTGTGAATGGGTTCCATTCTTCTAACTGTAGCATTAACATGAAAGTCTGCTGACAATTTAAATGTCAGCATTAGCTACTTCAAGGCAGATCATTTAAGCAGAAACACCAAGCTAATGTTCTTATTTGTCATTTCCAGTTTGTAATTGTTGGATGTAATGGCAGGTACTGGGGACAGAGAGCAACAGAGCAGCTAGTTATCGAAGTCTTGTACAGTGGGAAAGGTATCTAGTTATCGAACTCTTGTACAGTGGGAAAGGTATTCAAACCTCCCTGTGTCTCCCTTTTTCAAGTCATCTTTGTCCCTGGCCAAATGAGAAGGGAAGGAGTCAGCTCTGCTAAGTGCCAAGAGCCAGCCTCATCTGCCACCTAAATAACTAAAACCACATCCCACTTTTCATGGGAGCCAAGAGCTACGTTGGCCTTCTACCCAACTGCCAGAAACTTCTGCGGTGCAGTTCCCCATTGCCAAAAATGCAGAAGCTGACAGCATGTTGAAAATTGGGAAGCTGCCTAAAATAAATTTAATTGAACCTCCAAATAATCCCCACCAGTCACAAGGCAGTTTTCATGGATAACTCCAATCTCATCAACATATTGTTTGAAATAAAAATGTGACCATATAAAAAGTTGTTTGAAAAAGAACAAGGCAGGTTCTCTATAACCTTGTTTGTGCTGAGCCTTTTCTGTGCTTTACCTGCCATTGATTTAATTTAACATTGATGGGAGCATTATTCCATACCAGGTTTAGATAATTTTGCCCCCTTACCTTTTTAAGTTT